GAATTAATTGATTAATCTAATTTGATTAGATATCAATTTATGGAATATATTAAATTAATCAATTGGATTGATTAATTGAATTTTGGATATTAATTTAGTAATTAATGGAACTACTAATTAATAGTTGAAATTTAAAATTGGATTTTAAATTTCAAATCCAAATAATAATTATGATTATTAAATAAGGAAATTGGAAGAAATGATTAAAATAATAAAGTCTTGAAAAATGTTTTCAAGAATTATTATTTTAATGTTTTATTATTTTATCTTTAATATAATTAAAGATTAAAATAATTAAGGATTATAATAAATGGTGGTTAAGAGAGGTTGAGAACCACTCCACATTGTTTATTATATAAAAGTCAATAGTTAGTAAATCATATTTAAGTAAAATTTGATTTTATTTAAATATTACTAAATATTGATTATTTTATACTAAAAAGTTTAGTATAAATATGTGTAAAGAGTTTACCTAAAATTTGCTAAGTCATTTTTCCAAAGTTCTTCCAAGAGAGAAACACATTCAAAGAGTTGAGTGTAATATCAAGAAAAGTTCTTGAAATATTTCCTTATAAAATATATATATTCTATACTATTGAAAAACCGAGAAGTTTCTACTAGCGAATAAGCTATCATCGGAACCCGATTTCGAAAGGTGGATACGTTTAGAGGGAAGACACGTGGATTCCTAAAGCGAGTAACCACAAGCACAAGAAGTGAAGTGACGTTACCAATCCGGAAACCGATTTTCTCAATCCATCTACGATTTTGAAGGAGTTCAAGATTAACGGTAAATATTGTATTTACTATCAAACAAATCAAAATATTATTACATGTTTTTAAAGATGACGATCTGTTAATTCGCCATATGTATGTACGAGATATGTATTTAATTGTTAAATACATGTTTTAAAAATTTTTAAATTCCGCTGCATATAGCTCGTACGGTACAGGCGAACCCAACATTATCTACATGCAAAACAACAGAACGTGGAACTTATTTAACCAAACATAATTCTCATTCATCAAGGAATAACAAGTGTAATATCCACTAAAGCACAGCTTAAGTATATAACACCAAAAATCTCCCACTTATACTTAAAGCTGCCGCTTTACTAGTATAGTCCTATCAATCCGTATCCTAAAAGACTTATGTCGATCCTATCACCATACATTTGAGCAATCTTGGTGATCTCAACTTCTCCTCTTACCACAATATCTCTGATAAGGTGGTATTTGCGCTCTATGTGTTTGCTTGCTCTGTGGGCTTGTGGTTCCCTTGAGTTTGCTACTGCACCACTGTTATCACAGTACACGGTAATAACACGTGGCAAACTTGGAATCACTTTTAAGTCCACCAACAAGTTTCTGAGCCAAACTGTCTCTTTCGCTGCCTCAGAGGCTGCGATGTTCTCGGCTTCCATAGTGGAGTCTGCTACGCACTTTTGCTTAGCACTCCTCCATGAAATGGCTCCACCTCCCAAGGTAAACACATAACCTGAGGTTGACTTACTCTCGTCCCTATCTGACTGAAAATCAGAATCGCTGTAACCCAGCGGAAACAAACTGTCTGCACGGTAAACTAACATGTTTCACCGCAGGTACTTGAGTATATGTTTCACTGCAGGTACTTGAGTATATGTTTCACCGCAGCCCAATGTTCTCTTCCTGGATTACTTTGATATCTCGCTACCATGCCAACGACGTAGCTAATATCAGGCCTAGTACACAACATTGCATACATGAGACTTCCTACTGCCGAAGCATTAGGAACTGTCTTCATGTCCTCTATCTCCTTAGTCGTCTTGGGAGACAACTCCTTAATAAAGGTACTCCGTGTCTGAAAGATAATGTACCTCTCTTAGAGTTCTGCATACTGAATCTGGCCAAGACAGTATCTATATATGAAGACTGGGATAAGCACATCATTCTTTTCTCATGATCACGAATGATCTTGATACCAAGAATGTGTCCTGCTTCACCCAAGTCCTTCATATCAAACTGCTTAGACAACCACGCCTTTACGTCCGACAACTCCTTCTTGTTGTTGCCAATAAGAAGTATGTCATCCACGTATAGCACAAGAAACACCACCACGCTTCCACTAATCTTCTTGTATACACAGTTCTCATCCGGACATTGGGTGAATCCATATGACTGGATTATCTCATCAAACCGAATATTCCAAGACTTTGAGGCTTGCTTCAGTCCATAAATGGACCGATTAAGCTTACAAACTAAGTGCTCATGCCCTTTTGCAATGAATCCTTCTGGTTGCTGCATATAGATGTCTTCCTGAAGGTTCCCATTAAGGAAAGCCGTCTTAACATCCATCTGCCAGACTTCATAATCCATATGAGTGGCTACAGCTAAGAGAATCCGAATGGATTTAAGTACATATGTACCTCTTCATTATTGAATGTCATAAGTCTTGGAATTGATGAGTGAATAGAAAAGGGGAACATTGTGTTCTACGTGTGTATAAGCAAGGCCGTAGTGCGTGTTTATCATACTATCGTGTCGGAGAGAAGGCCATTAGAGCATCTTGAAGTCATAGTGTCTAAGAGACGGCCCTGAGAGCGTCTGTTAGTCACACCGATCATGTGTAGTCGAAGGCCCTGAGTGCGCGATTACTCACAACCGAATAGACAAGAACCGCGATCACGATTCCCTCATCATTGGTGCTCTCATTGAGAGTGTCCGATCAAAGTTTTTGTCTATCTATCTTTTTCTTTTTTTTTTTTGGTTTTCCTTTTGTTGAGGGCCGAAATTTTCTTCTTTTTGTTCGA